GCTGCATGGCAGGCATGGCGGTGGCGGGGTCGGCGAGGAGGCTCCCGGCAATGGCATTGTTCCCCTGATTGCCGCCCCTGCCGATGCGCCGGACGGCAGCCAGCCAACCGAATCCGCAGCCGCGCCAAGCGGCCGCAGGGGGCCGTCGGAAGCCCCCAGCCCGGCCGCAACTCTGGCGCTGTCCGGCGGCAGCAGCGGCGGCGGCGGTGGCGGCACGCCGGTCGGGACAACCGGAGGTGGGCTGGGCCGCGGCGGGGCAAGCGGGTCGCCCGCCCTTGGGGAGGGGTCGCCTTCGGTGGCTGCTACAGAGGTGGTCGAGGTGATGGATGTTGATGATGAGTTGGGGGTTGGTGGCGCAGCAGCTGGACCGCAGGGGCAAGGAACGCGGCAGCAGCAGGAGGAGCAGCAGCAGCATGAAGGGCAGCAAGGGCAGCAGGAGCAGCAGCAGCAGGAGGAGCAGCAGCAGCACGAGCAACAACAGCACGAACAGCAGCAGCAGCAGCAGCAGCAGCAGCAGCAGCAGCAGCAGCAGCAGCAGCAGGACCCTGGCCCCCGCCAGCGCTGGGGCGACTCAGCGCTGCTGCGCCTGGTGGATGACTTCCTGTTAGTCACCACCTCCCGCGCCGCCGCCGAGGCCGTCGCGCTCCGCCTGCAGCGCGGCTTCGCCGATGACTACAACGCGACCATCAACCCCGCCAAGACGCGCGCAAACTTCCCGGTGCCGCTGCCCGGCGGCGGGGCGGCGCCGGCGAGCCTCTGGGTCGCGGGCGACGGGTGAGCACCACACGCGCGCGCGCACACGCATGCGACGCGTGGCATCACAGTCCGCCCCCGGCCTTGAGGGCCCCCGTCGGCCTCCTGGTCTCACCTGATCAGGGCGGACGCTCCCATGCAGCTGGCTGCCGCTGCCTGTTTCGCGGCGTTGTTTGCTGGTGGCAATCCCGCCGCCTCTCCCTGACCCGCCGGCGCGGGCGCCCGAAAAACCCAATCACCTCGATCCCCTCGCTTGTCCGCCGCCTTGCCGCGTACACCGCGGGCCGCAGGCAGTCGTACGTGCGGTGGTGCGGGCTGCTTATCCACAGTGACAGCCTGGAGCTGCTGGCGGACTACAGCCGCTACGCCGGGCAGCACATCAGCAGCAGCCTCACGCTGGCGCTGGGGCGGCGGCCGGGGCGGGCGCTGCTCGGGAAGGTGCGGGGATGGTAATGAGAGTGGCGATGGTACTGGTGATGGTCAAGATAATGGTGATGGTGACGGTGATGGTAATGGTAATGGTATAAAGGTGAACGGTACAAATAGAAACCTGCTGCCGTTACGCCCTCAGAACGGATTATTTTTCGCGGCGGCGGGGCGCGCTGCGAACCGGCGGTTGGATTATCCGTCCAGGGGCGTGCTGTTCATATGTGTGTGGAGCTGGGGATGAGTGTGAAGTTCCGCCGCATCTGGGCCTGGTGTGGGGGGCCGGGCAGCCAAAGCCGGGGCCTGGCTCATGGCTGCCCGCGTCGCAACCGCGGGCGCTCCTGCATTCGGACGCGACCCGCCCGCCCTGCCTCCTCCCCTCCGCCCCCAGGTGCTGCAGTACACGCGGCCCAAGTGCCACGCGCTGCTGCTGGACGACACCATCAACGGCGGCACGACAGTGCGCCTCAACATCTTCCAGGCAGGCAGCGCTGTTTCGTGCCCGGTTCGCCCTGTGTTGTAGGATGTCGATTGTGGGGCCAGATCCAAGGAGGTGTCTTCACCTGTGACACTGGGTGCAGGCGGCCTTGTCCCGTGATGCGAATCCAAATCGAAGGATGTAACCACAAGCGTGGCTTTCGTGCGCGCCTGCGTGCAAACTCGCACACACGCACACACATGAGCACGCGTGTACATGCACAACTGAGTCGTGCGCGCTTGTACACGTTGTCTCGTGGTGCATACATACACATGCGTGCAAATACACACACACACGCGCGCACACACACACACACACACACACACACACACACACATGCACACACACACACAAGTGCACAAACGCGCGTGTGTGCGCACATACGTACGCACACACACACACCGCCCACCAAGCTCCACCCCAACCTCACCCCCCCCCAGGCCTTCCTGCTGACGGCCATGAAGACGCACTGGGCCGTGCGCACGCTGCTCGGCCCCGGCTGCCGCGGCCCCCAGCGCGACCCCCGGCTGGTCCTGCGCGCGGTGCAGGGCGCCATCAGCTACATGGTGTCCCTGGTCAGGAGCAGGTGGGGGCACGCCTCGCAGCAGGGGCCCAGGGTTGAGGGCTCAGGGTTCATCGAGGGTGTCCATCTAGGGTCTATAAAATCCGCGCCACTCGCAGGAGGGGGGGGTCGGGGGTTTATGGCTCAGGGTTCTCCAACAGGGTCTCCAATAATCGGCACCCACGGCTCTCCAGGGGACCGGCCGCCACCTTGCAATCGGCATGGGCTCCGAGGCCCGCCCAGGGCGCGTGTTTCGTCACAGGGCAGGGCTTTCGCGCGGACAAGTGTCGTCGGCGCCTTACCCCCCCCCCCCTCTCGCAGGGTGCGCCTGGCGCGCGTGCGGCTGGGGCTGGACTGCCGCTGCGGCGTGTCGCGGTGCCACGTGAGGTGGCTGGGGCTGGTGGCCTTCCAGCGCGTGCTGCGCAGGTGGGGGGGGGGGCGTTTACTAAGGATTGAGGAGAACCTTTCGCCCGAGTGGATTATGCTTTAGTCGTTTGAAGTTCGATGTATCGCTCCAACATCAGCACCGCCTGAATGCCTGGCGCGGGGCCTTGCGATCAAGATTGATGGAGGGAACGCCGAAGCCAGGCTGCTGGTGCTGCACCGTGATCACAAGCAGGGGACCCTCGTGTGCAACCCCCCCCAAAAAAATACCCACCCCCCTTCGCCATTTGTAATGATGCCGAATCGCCCCAAACCCCCTCGCACCTTGCAATCCCCCAGGAAGCAGGCCGCCTACGGGGCGGTCCTGGCCGTGCTGCAGGAGGAGCTGCGGCGCCCCACCTACGCGCAGCTGTCGCGCCAGCTGGCGGGCGTGGTGGACCCGGCGCGGTCCTCGGTGTTTGACCAGATCATCTTCTGACGCCGCGACGAGCATTTTGTTTGGGCTGTTCCGCGCCGCTGTTTGCTGGGCTGCGGTCACGTTGCGTTGAGTTGCGCTTTTGTTCACTGACTGTATCTTACTGGTCTGTTTCTGGCGTGCTGCGGCAGGCTGCCGTGAGTTGCAGCAGCAGACAGTGTATCTTTTACCGCAGATTGACGGCTGCCCGTGGTTGTGGGCAAACTATGCTATTGTCTAACTCCTGTGCACCAAACGTCACAGGGGGTGCAGCCGCTCCCTTGTCGTGGTGGCTCTGCCTCGCGCTCCCCACCCGACCCACTTGCTGGCCCAAAGGTCGCTGAGCAGCTGAACCGTTTTGCGACGCACACTGGCAACAGGCAGCGTGCTATCAACGACATTTGCAGGTGTAACGTACGAAGGACATTGGGATCGAAGCCAGAACAACAATCAAAGTTGTTGTGGTGCAACAGCGCATCAAAACTGCCGCAGCAGCAACCTGCTGCTCGCACAACGCCCCAGAACAGGGACCACCAGCCGCGCCGCGAGGCCCACGCACGCGCGCGCGCGTGCAGCCGATTATAAAGCTGACGCGGTGTTTGCAACAATCAACTTGCAACTGCATACATCAAACGTGTCTCGCCGACCCCACTGCGCACACTGTGTGGCATAAGAACATTGCGTAGTGGCCCCCTG